CGCAGTCTTGATTCCAGTTTCTAGATTCCGCTGGAGTTACCTAAAAAAAAATATGTCTATAGCAGTTGTTGATCAGTAAATTGTTCAGAATAGTATCAAAAAGCCATATCAAAAAGCCATGAAATATTTCAGCTCGAGACTATTGTCGCTGTCTCACGAAACAGTCTCGAGACATTTACTTTCGCAAGTACTATTTGTAGTACAGAAAAGTTAACTAACTTACCATCCAAAGTGTCGACTTATCGAAGAAATAGATGGCGCTTGCCGCCCATACAACAATACTCAGAATTCCATAAACAATTGCTTCAATGCACAGTTTTTCCTTGTGTACTAGCTGCAATTGAATACTTTAAAATATGTCATAAATCAACCTCATCATTTTTACCTTCATACATGTATAAAAAATTGTATGTAATATAGAATTTCCCATGAGAATTAACAGTAAGAATGTTCCGAAATCTGTGGCATCTACTGAATACAGACACAGTCCCAACATCAGCATGCAAAAATTGATACAATTCGCCAAAACCAGCAAAATGAATCTATCTGTAATTTCGAAAATAACAGTGGTACGACCATGATGTAGATGAAGTATTTCTTACACTTTTTGTTTGGTTTAAGGGAGTTTTTGGTCAAACCATTCTCGCATATATTTTCTTCAACTTTTTTGAATCCTTCCAGAATGTAACTGATGAAATAGATTTTGAAGGAAAGGTATATACAAAGTCCTATGTATCCAATATAGAACAGCAACCAAATGAAGAAGTAGCTGTGCAAAATACCTATCATAGCTGGAAAAAAGAATCACTATTACCTACTACAAATAATCTAGAGAAAATCGACATACCCACAAAAATTATGAGACCAAGCACCGTAAAAGTGGCGTAGGCGGTTGCATTTATATCAGCGTGCCGATTTTGATATAGTTTTACAGAACACAAGGCAGCCATGATGTACATAAAACTGGTATCTGTAAAATTATGCCAAAATATAAAATTTTATGTGAAATAAAATTTGCAGTTATTTACCAAACTGATAATTCGATTGACTTGGGCATATGTGATAACAGGCGGACAAAATGCCCTCTATAATCAGGGACACACCCATAGCATAATATATTCCGTAGTGCACTGGAATTCCTACTCCCTAAAATATATTTCTTTTACTTACTTATTACTTTTGAAACATTAATAAAATAATGAAACATTGAGAGTAACAGTAAGGAGGTTTGTGGGATGTGAAGAATCTGAAGGTGTTCCACAGGGTTGCTTGTTGGGTACTTTAAAAAAGGTGAGGCAGAAGTGGTCGAGTAGTACTCTCAAGTAATTCGTTATTTATGAGGTACTCACCAATCTTTCCGGTATAGTATTATGCCGATGAAGTACCACAAAGATAAAAAGACTACCTAGCAATACATAACCAATATTGGAAAAAATATGATTGAAATCACTGAAACCGAACAGTGGATGCGCACAGTAAAAATTATAGTAGCATAAATCTTGATTTCCTGTTTTATTGACCATCTGAAAATTTATTTTTAGGTTATGTCTCGATTAATTTGTTCGGGATATATTGATTACCCTTTGGTACGTAGCCACTAGCTGTACCACTGGAATGCCATAGAATATTGACACGCTGAGAACGTGCCAAAGGTAATTGAAGGATCTTTTCTTCGTTTTTACCGGATATTTAGACACCATTTTGACGTTAAGCATAGAAGCTGCCAAAAGTGATTTAATTTCTGTGGAATTCCTTTTATCGCGTTCATCTTGGATCTGCTCTTCTTGATCTGGAAAAACGGAAAACTTTTTGGTAGATTTTCACCGGAAAAAATTGTTTTTTTCCTTCTGGTAACAATATTGAGGTCTATATTGTCACTTTGACGTCTTTTAGCTTTGACTGATTAAAGTTTGATTTTCCTTACCTTCTAATTTGACAATATCTTTGATGCTTCCCCATTTAAAGAAAAAGTACACCAAAATGATGGCAAAACCGAAAAAGCCGAATATAATGGCTAAAATTATCAACATTGGTTCTACATAGTCAGATGTACTGAGCGTTTTTGTTATTTTGAAAGAAACAGAGGAAATCCTATTGGGAAATTCATCTATGTGTTGAATTCCAGATTTTAACAACCTTTTAGTTTCTTTGCTACACTCGTAATTACTAGGTTGGGCAACGAAGACCAGGAAAAACCTTCATCGAATTCATTCCTCTGAAAATATAAGAACTAATTTTCTCCAATTAAAATCGATAATAACATACAGTAACTGTCATGGCACCCTTTCTTGTCATAGATAAGTATTTCCCTTCATATTTAATGTCTTGATTCAAGTCAAACACCGGACACTGAAAATAAACCAAATCAAAATCTAAGTCATAATATATTTACAATAAATAAATCTCACATAGCTATCTTGTACAGAGATGGCAAGGCAGACATCGTCAGGAGATGTGATTTGTATCAAAACGGCTTCAGTAGATTCGTCGAATTTGTAGTATACGTATCTACTTTCACTACAGGTGATAGTCATAGAATAGTTGACGTTTAGTTTGACGTGAAAGTTTAATTCCTCTATGGCTTCGATGTGGGCGTCAATAGTTGCATCACTTTGAGTTGTGATGGTAGCAAGGAACTGCTGACTGAAGCTTTCATTCTGTTCATGTTTCATAAGGTCTGTTAAATGTATAAAACATTCAATAAATGAAAAACTATTAAATAAATAAAGACAGAAACTATCAACACTACTTTCACTGGTAAATAATCAAATTGTCAAAGTTCATTTTCACTCCAAAAGATTGTACGTATTTATAATTTCTTTCTAGTTTAAAAACTTACCAGTCTTTGAAAGACTGCTCAAATTCTTCATCGCAATGTGACATAGAGTCCTTGATGTATTTCTGAAGTAAACCTCGTCATGTTTACCAATTGGTTGCTTCAGAGGAACTTCCCAAGATAGTACCTTATTTTCTTGATGAACTACCACAAGTATTGGGTCACTAGGTAAGGCCTCTTTACTCCATACTCTTATTCTGTATGGATTGTGTGTCTAAAATCGAACGATAAATCTATAGATCAATTTATATCGACGATTTTCATATTTACTTTTGATGCTATTTGATGACAGAAAAGTTGTTGAAAATAAACTTTTGGAACTTAATGAATAAGTAAACTTTTGAATGATAAAACTCAAAAACAACACATTTTGAGGATAAAATTGAAAGAAACTTGAGTAGTAATATACCTTCATTCTATTATTAAACCCATAATTCTCTATTCACAATTACTCAATGAAAAGAGAAGATATTGATAGACAAACCTGTAAAAGTACTGATAAACTTAAAATTAAAACAAATATCAAGAAGATTCAATCTATTGTTGGATATCAAATTAGGCATATGAACATTTTTTGATACTTTTCTCCAAAATTCCCTACACAGAAAGTAAAGATAGTTAATCACCTTTAACCACAACTTTCTATGGTCGTGGTCAAGGATTGATGCTTGCTAGAATCATTTTTGAAACAGAATAATCCATCTAATAATTATATGTTAATTCTTTTAACGAAAAGAATTTGTCCTTGATATTTAATATTTATTTACATATACTCACTGTAGATTCCGGATAATGAATTAGATATTCAATGGTATTATTTAGTCTTACTGACACAGTTGAACCATCTAGTTTTCCATTTATTACTTCTACTCTCATGAAGTTATCACTAACGTCAATAGAACAAACTTTAAGAACAGCGAGCACTGCCAGTATGAGGCATTTTCTTACAAAAGTGTGCATTTATCTGAAAATAAATCGAAATCAAATTGTTTATGACAAAATATTAACATGGGTTTAGTTCAAGCTTTTCATTAATTCACAAAATGAAACGGATTACCTTCGAAACATGATCAGAATAAAACATAACCTAAGAATATTTACGTACCTTGTAAACAATTGATACTCAATGAGAAAACCTACTGTAGGAACTGATATTTTTATAACTTGAATATCCGAAAAGATCACTGTAATTAAACTAGTTTAATTTTACACACACTTCAAGTATCGTGACACACAAACGCGATAGTTTTAAATTGAAATATCAACTTCACAGTCAAGTAACCTCAATAACACAGTTCTAGGATGGGAATCCACTCAGATATTTCGTTTACAAACTCGCAAAGCGTGGACTAAGTGGCGCCAAATTTGTGACGTCAGGCCGATCCCACGTAAAATACGAAACTTAATCGATGAAAGAACGCTGCATTATTTGCTTTGTTTTTGTTTACATACATGTGAGAAGAGATACGATGCAACACTTGATACATATGAATGGTATTACGTGTGTAGTTCAATACGTTAAGAATTTGTAGCTTGAATATCTTTAACAATTAATTTGGTGTGAGGGAAACTGTCCCAAAATGAACACAAGATTTGAATTGAATAGAAAACACAGTTCTTAGTATTTTGATTTTAAGTTTTTATTCAATCATAAGGTACATAGAATAGGGTTATACATGGAATAACAACGGGTGAATGTTTAAGAGTTAAGTTTTTCAGGTTGGCGGCACTGGTTGGTAATGGCATCCAAACGTCATCTGTCGAAGTGAAAGGTTTTCAGTATATTCTGCCATTTCATCAAAGAAAGAACAACAAACGAGCAACGATTGCAAATTGTTGAAATTGACTATTAAAATTCGTGCTCTGTGAAAAATGTGTATCGTTTGTTACGACCATATCATGGTGGTCATAATCGACCTGGTGAATCAACAATTCGTGCTGTTATCACCAAATCTCGCACCAAGTTCACTTTGTTGGGCATTAAACCATTGTGTCGCATGCGTACAGTGCGTACTGAAGAGAATATTGCAGCCGTAGCGTACAGTGTTAATGAGGATCGTGAAATGTCAATTCGTCGCCGTTCTCAGCAATTGGCCATGTGTTACTCAACCAGGTGGACAATTTTACGTGTTGATTTGTCAATACTAAAGAATTACTGGCGACGGTCTCCGTAGCCATAGTCGGTAGAGCACCCGACTATGATGCGGTAGAACTCGGGTTCGAGCCCCGCTGAAGGCATGGGTGTTTGTGATTGCCTATGATTTGAGTTGTTTAATGAATGATATGCTGGGTAATGTACATTGATTCCAAGCCCAATGGCCGTTCGGACCCGGCGTTAAACTGGAGGTCCACTGAACTAAAAAAAAAAGAATTTAGTCAACATTAAATGGATTGTTTTTTTTATTTTAAAGAAAATTTCACTTTATCTCATGAAGATCGTTTCAGTTAGATTTATAGGGTGTAAAAAATCAAATTGCCGTTGCCAGCCTGTTTCATATTCTATCCGCTTTATTTATAAATTCATTGGCTCCCCGATGCAATCCTACGAGAAAAAACAAACGAGATTTCTTTCAGAGCCAACTTGAAAAACCCTCCCTCCCTCTGTAGCTTCTTCTGGGCCGACAGCGGGGCACACACAGGGTGTAATAACGTTGCCAGTAGCGTAAACTGCCCCATCCACGAACGTGACCAGAATATCAGCTTTATTTCCCGCCTAGAGGGCGCAAAACTTTCGACTCTCCTTACCAGACGCGTTACGCGTTGCATAAAGATCGAATTGTTTTGTTGTTTTGCTAACGGGAAATTGTGAATAAATCTCGGTTTACTGCGGGCTGCAAGAAATTAAAAGCGAGAAATTTACATGCCAAGTTGTTCCTACTGGGATTCAGAGAGGGAGCTCTGTTTGTATGTTTGCATGGTAATCTTAAAGTCATCAATCAATTGAGTCGCTCTCGACAAGACATGCACAGCGTTGTCAAGTATGTTGGTTATATAGTTGCCTAATCTATTGGTATACAATGTTGTAAAATTTCTTCGTAAAGTCGAAAAATTGGCGATTTTTGAAACTTTTTTCTATATTCGCATTGTTCTCAATTTTCAAGCCGTTTCTTCTTCGCCAGTCTGAAGAAACAATCGTTATAGTGAAACCTTTGTTGCAATTGAGAATTAAAAGTGTTTCAATATAGGAAACAGTGGTTTATATTCCATTTTCTTATTGAAAGAAATCAAATCAAGTAATGGTTTCCAATATTTGAATTTAAGAATTTCTTATTGAAATATTTTTATCAAATAATTTTTTCCAAGATTATTTGAATGAAACAAGAAGCTTAGATTATCTTGAAGAATAAAAATTTGAAAATATGAAATTATAACCTGTTCTCAATATTATCGAAAAGTCATAGTTCACTTACTATTATTATTATTATTATTATTATTGTTGTTATTATTATTAATATTATTATTATTATTACGATTGTTCCCCATGAGGAGAGCGATTGAACTTGCATTGGCAATTATTAGGACTTTTGCCTTCTTTTTTGCCTACCAAAAACGCTTCATCCTCTCTGAATACTCTTTCTTTCGTTCATCTGTCCACTTTACTCCAGGTTGACAATTTGATTTTTGCTCAAACTTCATACGTGCGATTTTATAACGACATTCAGTGCGATCTTCGAGATTTTTTATATTGATCTGTTGTAGATCTTTTTGGACCTCTTTTAGCCACTCTGTTCGCATTTACTCTTCATAATTATATCGAGTAGTTTCTTCGGTATTCTGGACTGTTTCATTCCGTAGATATGTGCATAGAACTTTGCTCGTCGTTTTCTGGTTTCTTCGTTATCGTATTTGACTTTTGACAAAGTTCATTCTGAGGTCTTTTCATCCAAATGCCGTTTCTATTGATTGGCCCGTAAATCTTTCTAAGAATTTTTCGTTCTTGTTCTTCTATTTCTCGAGATGCATCTCTCGAGATGCACTTTTTATTATGGTATACCCATGTTAGCTTGTAGGCCCTTTGGAGCTTGGTAAATCTGTTCATTAGCAATTCGGTTTGAACCTGAGGACTGTGTAACTTCTGCGAGGTATTAAAAATGGCCGACTTGCAGAATTTCACCATGTTTTGTGATAAGAGAAGATTTATTTTTGGTTTTCTTTCCATGTATTTGGTTTTATCATAAGACATTTGTAACCCGGTTTTCTGCGCAATTTCATGTAGTTTCTGTTTGGCTTCAGTTCTGTTGCCTATGATAAGAGCAATATCGTCTGCAAAGGCGAGACATCTGACATTTATTCGAATTCCTTTTTTGATACCCACTTGTATGCCCTTCACGTGAAGTTCCCTTTCCCAAATGATCTTTTCTAAAACAATATTGAAAAGGATTGGCAAAGGTCCGTCTTCCCGCTGCACACTGGTTTTGATTTCAAAGGGATCTGATACCTTGCCCATGAATTATATCTTGGAGGTGGTACCTGTAAGTGCCTGTTCTATAATTTTCCCAAATTCTTTCATGATTTTGAAAAGGGTTTCGTGGTCTACCGAGTCATATGCTTTCTTGATGTCAATGAATGTGATCACTGTATTTCTACATTTCCTCATCTGTAATATCATCTTCAAAGTCCAGATCTGTTCAGCACATGATCTGCCTTTTCTGAATCCAGCTTGGTATTCTCCAATTAGTGGATCAACTTGGTGTTCTACTCTGTTTAGTATGTAGTGCTTTAGAAAGTATTTTGTACGCAACCAGGAGTAAGGAAATTTCCCTGTAATTATTGATATTCATTTTGTCCCACTTTTTGTGCAAAGGATGTATCAGCGCGCATTTCCAATACTCTGGTATCTATTCCGTTTTCCAGATTTCTGATATCAAATGATGAAGTTTTTGAGTTCAGTTCACTCATATATATATATAAGGAAATGAACACTAGAATATTCATTTGAAAAATTGAAATTAATCAAGAGAATGTTTTATTAGAGCTAGATATGTGAACGTGTACGATGTGATGTCTCCATTATCCTTCAAGGGATAAATGTTAGAGAAATATTGAAATCGATGCCACACCTGATGGAAGTGCGAGACATATATGTTTCGTTCTGCAAGGAACTCTACTATAACATTCTTTTGATTAATTTCAATTTTTCAAATGAATGTTCTAGTGTTTATTTCCTTTAATATTCCATTCAGTGCCATAAGCACAAAAAAATTTCATTTCCCTAAAAATATCGCCGAATAGGCCCCTGAAATACGGGAATAAACGCGAGCGTACTACTAACGCAACTATTGACATTTAAAAACATCGTTCGATGATATTTGTCAAATAGACATTGCAATTTAGAAGATACCTACGGGTATAAGAGATATGTGAAATTTCGATGCTTGGTGTGTCTGTAATCTGAGAGAGGTGTTTTCTAATGATTTCTATAGATGGAATTGTAGAGTATTCATTACTCTACGATCTTCCGCTTGAAGTCACAAGAAGATGCTTGGAGGTTGAAATCGTTGCCTTACTACGATGGACGTGGTGCGACTGACGAGTTCCTTGCAGAACGAAGCATATATGTCTCGCACTTCCATCAGGTGTGGCGTTGATTTCAATATCTCTCTAACATTTATCCCTTGAAGGATAATGGAGACATCACATCATACACGTTCACATATCTAGCTCTACTATAACATTCTTTTGATTAATTTCAATTTTTCAAATGAATGTTCTAGTGTTCATTTCCTTAAATATTTCATTCAGTGCCATAAGCACAAAAAAATTTCATTTCCTTATATATATATATATATATATATATATATATATATATATATATATATATATATATATATATATATTATTATATCGACCTTCAGTTATGTTTGAAAAACACTGCCATAAATCTGTCGAATAATGAAATTCGAAACTCGGACAACTTGTCTGTCAGAATCTCAATCGATACGCATGCAAGACCGCGATGCATCAATTGTTTCCGACGATGTTCACTTGTCCCGATTGACGCGCCGTCTGCAAATCAAGTCGACCGGGCCGCGTATCGCTCGTCTTTGTCTCTGACAGCTTCATGGCCAACTTGATGTCTTAATTCCGTTCCGCAGCGATTGCAAATATGTACTTCGGAATGTCGCGTACCATTATTCCCCTAAAACGATCATTTTTCAGCTTGTCTGGCGTGAAAAACCCGCATAAATTGCGGACGAATTGATTAACTATTTTTTCGCGTCGCGGTGTAAAATAATTCGATAGAAGTCTATATAAATCCCGCAAAGTTTACCCCTGAGCCCCGTTCGAATAAAATGAATCGATATCTCTTGGAAACAAAAAGGCTTAACGCTCCGTCAAATTCTGGAATTAAAATCGGACTAAAAGTTCGTGGAAGTGGTGAATACGATTAAGAGATCAGGACAAAGGAACGCAATGTCGATGTTTCCAAATCCCCCAATGAAATCATGAATATAATAAACAAAACTTCACATAGAATGTTCTATTTTGTATATCAAATATCAGTCTATGATAATATCGATATTGTCACGAAAGTAACTCATTCGGAATCTGTGACGCTTGGAATCTTCGATAATTAAACAATCCTCTGTGTTTCACACATAGAATTTTCTAGAAATGGATGTTTCGGGAGGAGTAAAAGTTAAAAGTAACAGGAGGTAAGAATTAAAATTGAAGAGTAATTGGAGAGTAGTGAATACTAGTAACGAACCAGTATTTAACAATGAATTAAAATTGATACACTTGGCTTAATTTTCACTTAATATATTAAAAATTCTACATATGTTTCGGGTGGTTGAAACATTATCAAAAGTATAGAATTTCACTATCAGTAACATTTAAATTTTGGGACCCTATAGAAAAAAGATTGCTATTAGAGAAAAGTGTGGTTATTAATACTGTCGAAATAACTATTTGTAAATAAGAAAATAATTTATTTGTTGAATTCCAACACTATAGGACTTATTGAACTAACCCTTAAGTTCATCTTAAAAATATCTTCATCTCCTTGTCTATGTTCGCTATCATTATAAAATCAAATAGGGTAGCATGTCATATATGCGAGGAAATGTCTAATGTTCACCTACATATACCCTTACCTACTCAAATGCTCTTCGTACAGTACAACAATGAATTATTCTGAAAATTGAAAGCCACATCAGAATATATCCTTGTCCTCGAGTAATATAACATAATATAGTACAAATGGACGAACGCAGATTAAAATGTACCCTGAAATA